GGGACAGGGCACGGGAATGCAGGCGTGGCTGGTGAAAGGTAACCTGGGGGTCTGGAAACCCTTCGTCTCCATGGAACCCTGTTTCCAAGTGGGTCGGTTCCGTGACCCTGGGCTCAGGAAAGCCGGTGCCACCAGAAGGGTGAGGGCAGGAGTGGGGTGTCTGAGGAGGAGCGTTAACAGCTGCAGGGGTTTATGTAATTAAAACGGTATCTTGGCGGACGTACACTCATACACCGCCTTGGCCTCTCATTCTCATAGCATTTGAATCCTTCCTAGTTGTATAATTTCCATGTCTTCTTAATTAGCTTTGTCGGCCTTTTCTTCCACATATTAATTTTTTCTGCAGCTTCAGGCTTTACTCTGATTTTTGTGTGCCCGCCAACACAGGGTGTCACACTTGCATATGAGACTTATCTGTAGTCATACCCCTTAACCTTGATCGACTTCAGCTTTTTTGGTCTTGTTGCTGGTGTTTTCTAGTACAGGAGAAATATCTCCTGCCCAAACAGGGAGATGATTTTTCCCAAGGAGTCCTCTAAAATCTGGCTTTTCGTCACAACAGAAGTTTTCTTGTGAAGGCTTAGTCCCAGCCTAGCTGCTGTAGCCCACAGGTGGTCTTCACTAGCCTGCAGCTCCTGGTAGATGGGATTTGTTGGTTGCTTCAAGCTGGCTGCTCACTGCCTTCAGCTGGTGGCTTTTATTGACCCTCTCCCTTGCAGCAGCACGGAGGTCTGTATGGTTATCTGGGGAGCGCTTTGGAGGAAGTAACATAGCCGAAATAACGTTTGTTTGTTTGTTTTTGCTAGGCAGGTTCTGAGATAGGCTGGGCCCCTTGTGGGTGTCACAGCAGCCACAAGAGCGCTTGTGCCATCCTGCGGGACACGGTGGAAGGTGAGAGGGAGGATGGAGGTGTCCCCCTTCAGCCACAGCACAGCCTTGAATTGGGTTTGAATTACTGCACTGCAGTAGCTTCACAGCACAGTGACCGTGGCATGTGATTCTCTTCAGGGTTAACTTAGACAAAGTTTTTCTGAGCAGACAAACTCTTGAGTTCATGCTTCCTCTATGCTTTTCCAAATAACTTGTATTGTTCATCTCTTGTCAGGGTGTACTAGCTGGGTTTGTCTCTTGTTTGTAGCACTGGTTTTGAAAGCTCGTGTCCCTGCTGCTGAGCACGTGCTGTGGCTGGGGCCTGCCTCCTGTCCTTCCCTGGGAGAGACGTGCCTCACGTTGGGGAAAAAATGTCCTGTGAAGGAGGGAGAAATGTGCGGGCAAGGTAGAGAAGGTGAGGGAAAAGAGAGTAAAGTGGTTGAATTACGTGTGGACACGGAGCTTTTTGACCACATGTATCACCGCCTGCCTTCAGCAAGATTGCAGTGGATGCCAATGGCAGGCAGATCAGTTTTGATATTCAGTTCTTGTTATGGTCGGGGTGTTTTTGTGTTTCAAATTCGGGTCATGAAACAGAATCGTACATTTGGATTAATCAGACGTTGCACAGTTAGAGCTGTGAGCTGCTCTTTTGCTTTTATTACTGTTGTGGCTTCAGTGAGCCTCTCAGCATGAGAGATGTGAAGTTTATTTTACCTGTAGCTGCAAGAAGTGAGCTTTGTGCTCTAGGGGACAGATAAGGTTTGAGGATTTGTCTGCCTGGGGGAACTGTTACAGAAAAAGGCGATTTGTGGGTTTACAGGTTTAACTTATTAGACGCTCCCATGGCTGCTCACTCTGGCATAAGCCATGGCAGCTAGCAGTGATTGTTCTGGTCGCTTCACCAGACTCCTGGGGTTTGTGTCTCTGGTGGGAGCTATTCTGAGGAACTGGGTAAACCTCGGTTTAGAGGGCTCTTGGGACACCGTGTCTGCCAGGGAGCTGTGGGTGGCAGGGGTGTTGGGGGAACTGGAGGAGGATGTATCTCTCCCAGCTGCATCTGTTGAGCTGTGGCATTTGTGTTCTCCCACGGGGGCTGTGGCTCTTGGGAGCCCCAGCGTCTGAAGGTGTGAGCACATAGCCTACCTGTGGCCTTCAGCTCATGCCGGCTGATTTGCAAATTAGTGTTGTCGTTACTATAAATGGTTGATTTTTGTTTTTTTACAAGCTCGTCCAGCTGTTTCTGGATAATGCTTTAAGATCCATGTATTTAAAAGCAGTCACAATTTAAACAGCAAATATATCTGCAATCTCTAACAAGTGGAATTTTCTCTAAGAGCAGGAGATTTATCATTTTGATCACATTTGTAAACATTTAGATTAATTTTTATTTAATCAAAACTACTCTAATGTTTAGGTAAAATAGTCTTGGTTTTACTGAGTTTGTGATTTTTATGTCCTGGTGTTGTTTTATTTGTAATAATTGAGCATGTAACAGTGAATGTTCTTTATTAGAAGAAATGGAAAAATACAGCGAATTCCATTGGGCCAAGTTAGATTGACCGTAACTGAAGTGTCAGATCCTGAAGTCCTCATCTATGTTGCTTTGCTCCAACTTCGGAGCACGTTGCATTTAGAGTAAGGACAGCACATGGATAAATCTTATTCATTACAAATTTTTAATGCTCAAATCTGGTCATCAGTTTGAGAGCAGGCTAGGACAGTAGTGGGAAGCTGTGGTTTGTCTTACTGTAGCTGAATTTAAACTTCTGTCATGATGTAATCAGCTCTGTGTGTGTTTTAGGATTGCTTATAAATCTCTCTCATCAGAAATTTTGTATCTCCCGGTAGCTTGTCTCTTTGAAATATTACGGAGTTGATCCTTGTTCTCTTACCTTGCTAGATTATTTCTTTTTCTTAAATCTGATGAATCTTCTTCTTAAGCTGAGCAGGGAGAATAAGAGGAAGATCTTGAAGATAATATAAAATCCTGGAGAGAATATTCTTAATCAAATTCATACGAATTAATAAAGCTGGAACTAAAGTATCATATTTGAAGCTCTATTTTCAATGGTTTCGAAAGAGGCTGCAGATTAAAAGTGAACAGTTTAGTTCTATCACAGGAGATATCGCTCCCAGATACTTAAACCTTTTACCAGGCTGTTCCGTTAACCGTCTGATGGGTTTACGAGGATGTCGTGGTAAAGTTGCTGACAGAGCGGTATGCAGATGGGAACTGGATGGCTTTGGAAGCCATCTGAAAGAGATCGTCCTTATTTTGCTTTGCCTTCAAGACTGGAAATAAGATCTGTGGCCAGGGCAGTTTTATTTCCCATATCCCATAGCCTTTGATATCTTTCGAGTCACAGTTGGCTCCGGGAAGAGGTTTGATGAAAGATCGAGTAGAAGGCAAGGCGAGCGTCTCCTCCTGCTATCTGGTGTAAGCCGCAGTGAATACTCTTCTTTTAACCGTGCAGGTCCTGGCTGCCCAGGGTAACTCCGTGAGAGCGGCAAGCCTCAGGACAGCGTTTGCGCCTGACCATTAGTTCCTGCTAAAACCATGGGATCTGTGTGTGTGTCCTGGAAAGTTCAGTAAGGGAAGCAGAGGGAAGGGGTCAGGATTTCCTCTGTCAGGATTTGACTGGGTTGGATGAACACCATGAGGAGGATGTGAACTAGGAGAATTTCACCCATTCTAAAGAAGTGAGATAGAGGGACTTGGTGTTCAGTTACAGACAGATGACTTTGCAAAATTGCCCTGGGAAAGTTCCACGTGCCCATAACGGTGGAAGATGTACATACCAAATAAAGACTGATTTTGCTTCTTAAGACTGGGATAAGTTCATCTAGTTCTGCTGCTGCTCTGGGCAGGAAAATGGTAAGGAAGTCAATGGTACCATCTGGGTTTTATTTTTTCCTTTTTGATCTGGTAGTTTCCACTCTGTGTTAGAGATGTGGGAATCTCATTGAATGAGTAGCGGACAGCAAAGAGGCTCAGAGGAAGTGCTCGATGGTGGCTCAGCAGCTCCCGATAAGCTTCACGTGCATGCCAGAAGCAGCAGTACCACATTTTTCCCTCCTGTCCATGCAATCTGTGATGGTAGCCTTTATATAACATCCTGGCATTAATTTATTTCATTTGGCTTCGTGCCAGGCTGCTCAAGAGTACGCTTCATTCCAACTTCGTGATATGTTACAACCCTTGCCAGTCATAATTTCGCTGAAAATAATTTGATTTTTTTCTCGATCAGCTCATGTCTTGTCCGTCACAGATGCTATTGGTGTTTAATTCGGTGATTCCTGTGTTGGGCTGGTGGTGTTGCTTCAAAAGGGAGAGTGCTGAGTGTCCACAGTCACTGTGAGTGTTGCTAATTGTCTTTTGGCCAAACTGGAAAAAAGCAACCCAGCAGCAAAACCCCCAACAAACCAAACAAAAACCACAAGCATATGGTTTGGGCAGAGGAACCAGAATGGAACATGGTTCCTGATCCGCCATCTGGAGAAGCCGCTCTGTGGAACGCTCCTCGGTGTCTCCGGCCTGGCTCTGCCAGCCCACCGGAGGGGCTGGGCTTTGTATGGAGGTGTGCTGGTGCCAGCTCCTGTCTCTGCTCTGGGGCTGCTCAGAGGCTGTTCTCTTGCTCGAGGTGGTTACTTCTCATTGACGTGACCGCATACGCAGAATAACGTGGGATTATGTATTGCTTCCAGGTCAGCTAAGATTTGTTTGCTTTGGGCTTCGGGGTTTAAGCATTTAAAGTAGGAAGATTTTGATTCTCCTTGGGTTATCATGTTGAATTTATAGCATCGTGTTACAAACTGTGAAGCCCCTCTGCGGAGTTTTGAGGGAATCAGTATGGTCCTGGCAGTAAAAGAAATTGCTTTCTTGAATGACAGGAGCTATGGAAGCTTCTTGTTTATAATGTGTGCTGATCAACAGAAATGAACCAACTGCTGACACACATCATCCAGTCTTCCAGTTGTGCTAGTTTATAAACTTTTTTTTTTTTAAAAGCACTATTTTAGTAGCGTAAGTATGCATCTTCAGGTAATTATGTGGGTAGCTTGTTGCTACTGTTTTTCTACTGCCTTTGAAAAAAATAAGCTTTCATGAGTCTGTACACTAATACTGCTGCTGGCTATGTGTGATACTGCTCTAATCGAGAACTGAGATGTTTGTTTCAACTGCGTTCACAGGCTAAAGAGTGCAATGGCGTCAAGGCTCCCATTGACACCAGCAAACCGAACCCGAACGAGGTGGAGTTTGATAACCTCTATTTGGACATGAATGGTATCATTCACCCCTGTACGCATCCGGAAGACAAGTAAGGCCGTTTTTTCTCTCTTTGCAGATAGGGTTTATTGATGGCATTTCAGACGTTAAATGGAATGCTCTCTGTTTTAGGCCAGCGCCCAAAAATGAAGATGAAATGATGGTTGCGATTTTTGAGTATATTGACAGGATCTTCAACATTGTAAGGCCACGGCGACTGCTTTACATGGCTATAGACGGAGTGGTAAGTACTGATATCTGTAGTTCCCAGCAACGGCTGTTTGTAAAACTAGGGTAGGTGCCAGCCACATTTGTGAGATCCTTTGGGAAATAGTTTTCTAATGTGAAAAACTACAGGTAAAATATACTGCTAATTAAATTTTGGTGAGGATAATTACAAGCATCTGTGAGTTTTGTTGTCCACAGAGTTGATGTGCTGGCTAATGTAGTCTGCTGCAGTCTGAACTTTGCTTCTGAAAAACAGGAAACTTCTGTAAGACAGCAGCACTCTGGAACTACTTACGTCCCCCCGTTCTGTGGCGTTAGTAATGATTTGTGCCGCAGGCTGGGAGAGACCAGAAAAGCTGTTCAGAAACGTGTCCAGCTCCCACCGCTGCCATACGAGGGCTGGTGGTGGCACATGGGAGGGAGAACAGAACAGAAATCCCAGTTTCGGTTAGAGTTCAGGCTGATGTCTTGTTGCATGGTTGTATAGTCGCAGACCGGCCACGTGCAAAAGACTTGTTCAGAAAGGGCACGATGTCCCGATGCAGTAACTGAACCAGGCTTCATGATAACTATTTCAGGCTCCACGTGCAAAAATGAATCAACAGCGGTCAAGAAGATTCAGAGCATCAAAGGAGGGCATGGAAGCTGCTGAAGAGAAGCAAAAAATAAGACAAGAAATTCTGGCAAAAGGTAGAACTGTGACTGTATCAGAGATCTTCCAAGTGAGAGTCACCGTGTTTGATTTGAACACTTCAGTAAGGGTTAGGAAAGGGATGTCTTGCTCAGCAGATATTTGTCTGTGCGTTACTAGGAGGAGGAGGGGATAGCAAGCCTACAGAAGGTTGGATCTGTGTTTTCCAAAGATAAGAACTAAGATAAAACACAGTGTCACTTTTTTTCTTCCTCCATCTCCTGCCTGAAGTGGATTTGTGTTGAGTACTCTTAATTCCTTTAGAAAAAAAATTGCACAGAAGAGCAGGGATAAATGTAGTGATGGGAAACTAACCAGAACTCTTCTGGAAGGGAGTACAGATTTGTAGGGCTTGGGGAAAGGAGAGCTGAGGCGTAAAAGCAGGGGTCAGGTGAAAATACTACTGCACGGGCGTAATGAACTGCAAGGAAGGGTAGTTCCCTGACAGTGGAAACTCTCAGCTCAGTGAGGAAGCAAAGTCAGTGCAACTTTCAAAGGGTGACAGTGACATGAGTGGAGTGAAAGGAGTGTGTGCAGCTGAAGCGTGCTGTCTGGGCTGGAGCAGTGAATTCGGGTGACTGCAGGAGGAATGAATGCTGTAGCCCAAGTGAGAGGGCCATTGTGTAACCTATTGAGAGATGAAAAAGCGGGGACAAAGATTTTTTTAACATTTCTTCCTGTAGCATTTCTAGACTATGAAGACCCTTTATGGAGCTCAGAGATGAGAGAAGTTGGTGTAACCCTGTTTGTGAGCCCAAGTGAATAGATAGTGGAAACATAGGGGAGAATATGTAAGAAAATAATTATTTCCTAATGTTTTATCTCATTTAGCAAGCTCAGTTTCTTTGAGATTTCTCTCACAGTCTTTTGACAGAATAGGTAGTGAAATCGCTTTTCTGCAGTAACAACGTTTGCAAATGTACTAATACCTTATTTTAAGATGGAGATAATATAATGGTAAGAGCTGTTTTGGTTTTGTTGTTGTTGTTTTTTAAACAAACTAACTTTCAATAAGTGTTAATTGTTATCAGGGGAGCCGTCTGGGTTTTTATCATGCAAAAATGTTTTTAGTGTTCCATATTGATTTACCTCTGTTAAATGTTTTTATTGCTCTAGGTGGCATTCTTCCTCCAGAAGAAGTGAAAGAGAGATTTGACAGCAACTGTATTACCCCAGTGAGTAATCTTGCACTTTAACCAGCAATTGCCAGTGTCTGAATGAAGGGTTAATTTATTTTTTTCGGTCACTTTTTAGGGAACTGAGTTTATGGACAATCTTGCGAAATGTCTCCGCTATTACATTGCTGACCGTCTGAACAGTGACCCAGGGTGGAAAAATTTAACAGTAAGTTCCACAGTTTCACACTTCAGGAAAATTCAGGTGATCTCTTGGGCTGGGTTGGGATATGATTGAAGAGTGTGAATTGGACAGATCTGTCTCCTCTTCTGGCACTGTGCTGTTGGTAATAATGGACTGACTTGCACCTTCGGCTGGGACTTTGGAGGTACACCTCATCCTACAAGCACAGTCTAACAGTAGCGTTTGTTTTAATTTCATTTCAGAGCAATGGAAAGATTTGATAGGAGAAGCCACAGGTTGAAATAATGGGAGACAGGGTTTTAGGAGTACTTTTTTTTTCTTTGTATGTATACAATGTGTCTTGACACTTTTCATATTATTTTCACTGTTTCTTTTTTAACTCCTTTGCAACCTCGGGGAGGCTGCATTTTCTCCATCATTCTGATGCTGGATGACAATATGTGACGGGCAACGAAAATAATACGTACCAGCCTTCTTACCTTTCTGGACTTGGAAATTCTCTCCTCCTGTTCCTCAACCGCTCCACCCCCACTGAGTTTTGTTTCTGACAGCCCTGTGTTCGCTCTGTACAAGAGGGCAGAACAGTCTTCTCAGATGCAGCTGTCTGTTTTATTTTCCATCAGTTGATTGTTAAAGTGGTCTAATTAGAGGGCAGTTGACTGCTTAATTCCCTCCACCAGACGTGAGTTTTATAAACGCTAATGCTCATCTGGACATCAGCTTAAGGGAGTGTATAATGTGATAATGTATCTGCAAGTTTAGAAGATCTAAAGCGGGTGTATGTCTCCTTTATGTTAGTTCTCTAGTGCGTATTTCGATTGCCCTGATAATTTATCCAGAAACTACAAATATGTTAGGTAATGACGTGATAGTTTCAGTGGTTTTTGAATCGATACGTCAGCTTCATCCTAGAATTAGTAAAGAAAAATGAAGGTCTCTTCATTGGTTCCAAACTCTTAGTAATTTCATTTTGATTCATAGTATTTTAGTTGAAACTACAAATGAGGATTTCAAATATTCATAAGTCAGATTCCGTACGTGAACTATGCAAGTTTTTTTCACTGTGGTGGCTTAAATTGTTTACATCATTTAAATCTTTTGCAGGTCATTTTATCTGATGCTAGTGCTCCTGGTGAAGGTGAACATAAAATCATGGATTACATTAGAAGACAGAGAGGTAAGATCCAAATAAATGTGAACATTCTGTTTTAAACTGAGATGGTCAGTAATAGTTTATTTTACGTGACTTTGACTGAATGTAATTTTCTTTTGTATAGCTCAACCAAACCATGACCCAAACACCCATCACTGTCTGTGTGGGGCTGACGGTGAGTTTGAGTTCTCTTTTGCTGGAAATAGGTCACATTAAGCTTTCTTGTGCTGTTTTGTGATTGAGTTGGGCTGTAGATTTTAGGCTTTCATTAGTGTTTGTGTAAATAATGCAGTGTATTTGCTGGTTTTTGAAAGCTCTGTGTAACACATGAGGAAGGATCTAGCAGTGTCCATAGCTGAAGGGCTAACTGTCAGTTAATGGTACTCTCTGGGTAGTTTGTGGGTAAGAACGTCTGTGTGTTCACACTTGCTTAAGGTGGAATGTACTTCACTTCTAAACTTTTTTTAAAAAGCTTCATAATGTTTGTCCTTCATTATACTTTATTCCTCTCTTTTGATTGGTAGCTGATCTGATTATGCTTGGGTTAGCTACACACGAACCAAACTTCACTATAATTAGGGAAGAGTTTAAACCAAATAAACCCAAGCCGTGTGGTCTGTGTAACCAGATGGGTCATGAGGTTAAGGATTGCCAAGGTTTGCCCAGAGAAAAACAAGGCAAGGTAAGAATTTTGCTGTTTTTGGAAATTCTTTTTGTCTATAAGATAATTCATGTTTTAATGAGGTCCTCAAATTGTTCTTGCTGTTGGTTTTGGCTCAAACATAATGCAAATTATATCACTGGAATTACCTAGCTTTCCTCTTATATTAGTAAGTCAAAATTGTATTTCTGTAGCTCAAAAATATTATGGGAAACCTAACATCCTCACTTGGGGTGTTTTGTTGGGGTTTTTTTTCACTGGCAAGAGAAAATGGTCAGTAGCTTAAAACATGTGAAGTAGCAAAGTGCATGCTTGGCGTAAGAACTTGAGGAGCAGTGCTGGTACCCCTCTTCACTCCTCTCACAGTAAACCTTTAAAACGGAGCTGGAGAAACTTTAAGGTGAGCTTGGATGTCATACACCTCTTTCCTTTTATTTTAGCACGATCAGTTTGCAGACAGTCTTCCTATCTCCGAACAAGAATTTATCTTCATCCGATTATGTGTTTTGCGAGAGGTACGTTGAAGCAGTTACTGTATCTGCTTTATATAAATAATATTTTTAAACTCCATATGCAGTGTTTTCTGATTTCCATTTTCTTTTGTGTGCGTGTTGCAGTATTTGGAAAGAGAACTCACTATGGCCAGCTTGCCTTTCACTTTTGATTTTGAAAGAAGTGTTGATGACTGGGTCTTTATGTGCTTCTTTGTGGGAAATGACTTTCTTCCTCATCTACCATCTTTGGAGATCAGGTAGGTGAGAGTATGTTGGGTTTTTTTGGGTTTTTTCCTGCAGATATACTTACTGTGGTTTTAAATAGTAAGAATCTCATGCTTTTGTTTGTTTGTTTTTAGGGAGGGAGCAATTGATCGCTTGGTTAACATATATAAAAATGTGGTGCACAAGACTGGGGTAATTTTTTTTTGCTTTTTCTTTAAAAATATCTGAATGTTTGCTACAAAAATTGGCTTGTTCTTCAACTATATTTTCTGATTTGCAGGGGTACCTCACAGAAAGTGGTTTTGTCAACCTGCAGCGAGTCCAGATGATCATGTTAGCCGTTGGAGAAGTTGAAGATAGTATTTTCAAAAAAAGAAAAGATGACGATGTAATTTTTTTTGTTACATTCTTGGAGTTTGGTTTTAATCACTTACGTACTGTTAGACTGTGATGCTCCTTTGGTAGAATAAGAGAAAAAACAAAGTTTCCTTTTTTTTTTTTTTTTTTGTTATAATCTCTAGTGAATTCCTCTGTACTCAAAAGGGAATTTGAGTGCTCCCAGTTGAATTTCTTTTTTCCTGAACTGCAAGGCCTGTTTTTCTGATTGTTATCCCAAGTAACAGCAAAATGAAAACTGTGTGTGGGTTCTGTTTCTGCATACAGCTTTTTGAACAGCTGCTGTGGAAACTGAAGGAGTTGGTGTGTAATTTGCTGCAACCTGTGGAAGCACAAGCCATGAGCAGGGGTGGCACACTAAATATGAATTCCAAGTACATTCTTGCCTTGCCGTACCTCCTGCCATCTGAAATGTGTCCGGAGATTGTTGTTCTTTTGCTCTCTCTCTCTGCAGTTTGTGCATCTTTTTTGTAGACGTATTCCAGTTCATTCATTAAATGCAGGGGATAAAACACCTTGTGAAGGAAAGAAAAGAATTGTATTCACTATCCAGTCAAAAATTCAGTGCCACTGCTGGCAAAACTTTTTTTTTTCCCCCCACAGGTTTTCAGTGTAGTGTAGGAATTCCTACCCCACTTCTGTTGGATTTACAGACACAAGAATTAACCTATGTCATATTCAGAACATTACGTAAAAGCCCTGTGGCCTTTGGGTCAGTAGAGGATTATGGTGAAGTATTTTTCCAAGAAATCTGTATGCTTGACTGACTTTATTTCTCTTTATTCTGTATTTAGGATAACTTTAAAAGACGGCAAAAAGAAAAAAGGAAAAGAATGAAGGTAAATGAATTCCTTTCCCAATGCAAAATGTATGTATGCTATAGCTTTCAGCAGATGTGTTGGTAGATGCTGCGGTTGTAATCATGGCATTTTCTGTCTCATGTATAAACTATCATGGATTTTTGTAAACTGGAGCTTTGGAAGAAGGTATTGTGTATTAAAGGCTTCGTAAAAGGGGAAGGAGAGAGAGTTGAATGTGCTGGGTGATCGCTGTATGTTGTGTCCTTTGGATCTACACAAATCTGCGTTTTTGTGATTATTCAGCGATGTTTCAGCGTGGGCACTGTAGAGGAATTGCTTTTCCATGCGTTAACACGACTCTTCTCAGCAATTGTATTGCTGAGGGCCACGGAGTTCAGCGTAAGAGTTTAGGTTTAAATACTCGTGCCAGTTGGCATTAAATGGGTTTGCTTGATTAGAGGCAAGGGAGGCTGGCCCCAAACCACAGTTATCGCACCTTCTGCGTGTAAACAAGGCAGCACTGCCGGGTCTCTCTCTGGTGTAACAGAGAAGCATTAGCTGCTGTGGGAACGTGTTTGCCCTTTCTGATCCATGTGAGCTGAATTCTTTAAAATTACGTTAGTGGAAGGATGTTGTTTTTCTTCTATTCACAAAATGTTCTGATATTTTAAAAATGGGCTTTTGTATGTTTGTTTCAGCACAGCTTTGTTCTTGGTTAGGACATTCAGGTAAGCGAGGCTTCCAGAACTTTCAAGGCTACAATAGCCCCGCTCTGAGTACTGTGCAGATCCTGTGCTTGTTTTTTAAATTGCATATTTTCTGACTATCCCTATTAGAATGGAAGAAATTATTCTTATAAAGAGTATGTTCTTCCCAAGAGGTTAGGTGAAGTCTCACTTCCCCAGAAAGCTGCCTTTCAGCCCATGTAGAAAGAGCTTGGGCACAAAATGCAAGGTTTGTTTGGGGTTTTTTGAAGGAGCTTAGTAAATTATGGGAATTAAGAGCCTCACTTCATGTGTCATGTCTGGTTGAGATCGTTAAACATAATTAAGCTGAACAGAGTGAACCAGTAAGTTATCCTTGTTTTATGTAACCTATTAACCTGAAAATGGTGAGAGAGCATGATCACGCTGCTGTGGAGATTATACATGTTGTTCAGTATGCCTCTATCTGTTTATCTTTCAGAGGGATCAGCCTTCTTTCATTCCTGGTGGGCAGTTTTCCCCGCAAGCTCTGGGAAATCGATCTAGTCCTCAGGCAATCAGTAACCCTAGGCAAGCTGCCTTTGAGATGAGAATGCACGACAGACAGAACTCTGTGAGTAGATGATCAGAGGTATTTCTACATAGAAGGGGAAAAAATGACATCCTGTGTTACTCTGGACACCTTTTTTCTCTATCCTGTCAAGCTTTCTTGAAAAGCAGAGCAGAAAATAGTTATTTTTCAAGGACGTGGCTTTTAATAACCAGTTTTTTGTAAGACTACTTGAATAAAATAGTGTTCTTTATGTTAATGTTTGGTATGATACTGCTTGTTCGATCGTTCTGGGAGGGCAGGTGTGAGGTGAATGCATCCAAGTCAAGTTTGGGGAGAAGAGCCACCATATCTGTTTGGCACTTGTAGGGTCAAACCTCCTGTGAGAACACGTTTAGGAACTTCCTCAGGAGGTTTGTAATAGACACAGGCTGAATACCTGAGCTGGAGAAACTTAGATGAAATTTTTATAAAGGTATGAGACAGTGAGGGAAAACTGGAAATAAGTTGAGTGCTCTGAAGTCTTGATTGTTAAATTGAAGTAACAATTATGACAAATATTTTCTTCCTGGGCATGAATCTTCATCCAAACACTGAAAAAGTTTTTGATTAAAGGTCCTTTTCATCAAAAAGATGTTTGTTCTGGTTTTTAAGTCTAAATAAATAAAATACGCTTTTTCAAGTATAATTTCTGCTGTTTTTCCCTTTTAATCTTGAAACTTTGCATACGGGTTAAGCAAATCAGTACTTTTATGGAATGGGAGAAGTTTCATTTAGACTCTGTAATATTAGATAAATTTGAAAGGAGTTTAAAGATCAGTTATGAGGAAACAGAGTATTTCTGCCAGTTCTGAATTACAAGCAGCATTTTTACAGTAGTCTGCATATTCGTTTTTCACTGTTGGTGTAAAATGAAGTTGTAAGATAAACTGTTGGACTAGAGACAACATTTGTATTCCAAAATTGGAATAGACCAAAAATGGCATGTTTCATCAGTTCATCCTGTCTTGTGTATTGCATCTTTTTCTTTCTCAAATACAATGAACCTTTTGCCTGGAGGCATCAGTGCCTGCCTCTTTTAATACAAAGATGTGATCTTTTCTTTTGCTACTTGACTTAAGAGTTTAAGGATTGCATAGCTTTTGCCTTGGGTTTTTGGGCAGCTGAAAATAATGCATGTGATTATTACAAAGCTGTTAATTTTAACTTGAACTTAAAATGTCTAATAAATCCTTTTCCCCCTCTCTATTTATCTGTAATAATTCTGACCCTAGACAACTTCATCTCCAAATACCAGCTTCACTTCTGATGGCAGCCCATCCCCGGCAGGAGGAATTAAGCGAAAAGCTGAAGACAGTGACAGTGAACCTGAGCCAGAGGATAATATCAGGTGAAGCCATTTTTTGTAGCTCTTTGTTAGCAAATTGCTGAAATAGATGCATTCTAATTAATGCCATTTAGCTTAGAGCAGCAGTGCCTTCAGATGCTTTTCTATGATCTTTTTATCCACTGGTAATTAATGTGGAGGGTTAGAATATTCAGTAAATTCCAATGAGATATGTAAGCTATAGCTGTTAAATCTAAGTATCTAGATTAGTATGCGTGCAGGTTTTCATCCTCCGAGCCCCTGCTCCCTTTGAGACCAAGCACTAGATTGGTGAGACGTTCCCTGCTCAGCTTTATGTGAGCTGAATGCCGCTCTTCTGCCGTTGGATTTTTGAGCAGTTTAACCCATAAACTTCAGTTATGTTCGCATGTGCAGCGTTGTTTATCTTGACTATCACAATGTGTTTTCCTCCGTGTTTGATTTGTAGCGGGGTCTGTTTTGTCCATGCTGAGTTCTTCAAACGTCTTCGGATGGCTGATTCCTAGATGATTAAGGGACAGGAGTTTTATGAGAATTAACTGACAGTGAATTACCAGTGAGTGGGAATTCAACAAAGGTTTAAATCAAGCTATTGCCCTTTAAATTGAGGGTGAAAGCTCTTATAATTTTTTGTTAAAGGTTCTGTCCTGATAAGTGCAACCAGTAGGTTTTTGTTTCTGCTGAGTCAGGGGACATAGGTGGACATGGGAAGACAATGAGGGTTACTTCATGAAGTACTGGTCACTGGTGTCCAGCACTGTTGTCGTGACATACTTGTGACATCCAGCCCGTCAGATCTTCCAGTATCAGATATTCTCTCATTCTTATTTTTTCGTGTATGTATGCGCAGACCTGAATGGATTAATTCTTTTTTTTTTTTTTTTTTTTTTTTTAAACCAAGCAACATTTTTATCTACAATCAGGATAAATTGTAGTATTGCTTTCCATTTGAATTTTCGCAGAGATTCTAAAAGAAGCTTTAAGAGTTTTATAGCAGCTAGTGTGAATGAGCCGTGGTGATTTATAAGTGACAATAGTTTTGACAAGGTTGGTACTGCCAAGCAAAAGGATATGTTACATTTGTCTGCAGTTATTTAAGCTCTTTTGTAGCTCAGAATATTTATTCAGATCCTTTTCTGAGTGGAAAATAATTCTGTGCTTTTCATTGTAAGTAAAAGCTGCATAAGTGCACTAGTGGCAACAAAGTTGTTTACAGGAATAGATTTTGTATTTACAATTATGTTAAAACCAGAGCAAATAGTTCTAATCAGCTGGCAGATTGTGTTTTGTTATCTTAGGGAAAAGGTTTTTGAAATTCACGCAAGTGTCTAGCTGCTGGGGAGCTCCTAGGGTCAGATGCTCATGGACTGCAGGTGTTCTTGACTCTGTCCTTCAAGACTTCAGCGCAAGTAGCTCTGTCCTTGCTCACCTGGCTTCTTTAAGCTCTTGAAAACATCTCTTGGTTTCCCACCTCCTCATCAGTTTGAGTCAGCTTTGAACTAGCTCAGGTCAGATTGTAAAAAATATCCCCTGTACCCGTCAGCCAACTCGAAACAGAAGCAAGGGGAGATCTTTGCTCTGTCTTGAAGGCTTTGTGCGCGGTAGTGATTGCACGGGCAGATTGTGACGAGTGTGAGCTGACCTCACGGTTACTTGTGTGCTTCAGGTTCTGCATGTAATTTAACACTGTCTCAGCCTTTGGGAAGGGATCTTGCATGATGGTTTTCCGATGTGACAATCAATGCCAAGTTTTGAATGGTTGAGAGTAAAATTATATTTTTTAAAAAAATCATTATTAAGGGATTATCTGATATCCCCAGTTTCTAAATCAGATTTGTCGTTTGCTTTACTCTAGGTCACCTGAATGCCAAAATTCAGGTGAACTTTGAGATATGTACGTGTAGACTGCATGCACGATGGTGAATAATATGTTTAAAATAAACCACCACGACAACAACAACAGGAAACCCCCCGAAACAGAACAAACACAAAACCCAAATAAACCCCCCCCACAACATCGGTGATAGGTTTGTGAGGGAGGCCGGTTCTGAAGCATGATATCATGATTGAACCAGATGTGAAGCAAAGCCTTATCTTTCTGTTATTTAAGGAACCTTTTTAGATGGCAGTCTCCGAATTGAACTGAATTTCCCCCCAGGCTGCGTTGTGTCCGGTACTCCTAATTCCCTGAGGTTTTATGTGCGTATTAATGGCTCCGTGCTCGTGGCACAACGGTTCTCTCGGAATCCACGTGTCACCTGTTGAATGCCAGGGGACACGGCAGATGTTGTGAGCGGATAAAATGTCCAAGGAAGAGAAACTCTGGAGCCTGTGGGAGGGATTCCTGCGGCTGCCCGAGCCCCCCACGGCTGTATTCCCCTGTGGGCTGTGTTCTCTGTTGATCTTCATGATGGCACACTGGCCACATTTTTCCTGACATTATCCATTAGAACTCGGATTCAGAGGCTTGTCTGTCGAAGATGAGCAGGAGGTTGTTTTCCCCTGACCTCGGCTGTGGACAGACATAAGGGGGAGCTGTGTGAAGGAAGGACAAATGGTGTCTGGGGTTGCTCTTTTGGCTCCAATATCTGTCTCTGTTGTGGAAGAGTGAAAATCCCTGTGTGAAAGGAAACTGGTCTGATGTGAGTCAGCGAGCACAGCAGTCCTGAGTTGCAGATAATTCTGCTGGTGATCATAGCTCGTCTGAGCAGCAATAGAATATAGAAAAAAAGCTGCTGCTTGTTGTTATTTATTTGCTTACTTTTTATTTTGAGTAGTAGGGAAACTATATCACTTTTCTCCTTGAGAGGGATGTTAAATTAGGGGAGTGAACTTGATGTGAGAAGATATTCCAGTAAGATAAAGATTTTGGCCTATGGTAAATTAAACTAAAAAGGAAGGGGAAGAGTTTGTTCTCTTTCTAGTGGTTGGAAGAGGTAAAGAACAAAGTTCAAATGGCAGTTTTGGCAGTAGATTCTTGATAAGGATGAAATTTCCAACTGGGAACAATACTGTTTTGAAAAATCCTGACAGCAGCAAGCACACATTTGAAAATCTACCCTGCTCCTAACAAGGACTTTGAAGATGTGTTTGTCGGTGTGGTAGCTTCAGAATTTCATCTGGATTCTCTGTGATGCCAACCAGCAAATTTTATTCCCTTGCTGTTGAATATCAGCCTTTATGCTTTCATTTAAATTGTATAAAAAGGAGAATTGAGATAGCAAGTGACTTTGGCTTATATATTAATTCTGATACGTAAATTGTGCTGCCCAGAGGAGCTGTGGATGCCCCATCCCTGGAGGGGTTCAAGGCCAGGCTGGATGAGGCTTCGGGCAACCTGGGCTAGTGGGAGGTGTCCCTGCCCATGGCAGGGGGTGGCACTGGATGGTCTCTAAGGTCCCTTCCAACCCAAACTGTTCTGTGATATATTACCATGTATTGACGTCTGTTTGTGTTTGTTATGCAGGTTATGGGAAACCGGTTGGAAACAGCGCTACTATAAAAACAAATTTGATGTTGATGCATCTGATGAGAAATTCCGTCGTAAAGTTGTACAGTCCTACGTAGAAGGGCTTTGCTGGGTTCTCAGATACTATTACCAGGTACTTGAAAAATTCTTCTCTGAAACCCCAGTTGTCTTTTGTGTCTATGCCCTATTTCTTTTCAGGAAATAGCAATTATCCATTGCTCATTTTTGAAAAGCAGTGCACTTTTTTTTAAGCTATAAAATAAATGGGTGCCCATTCTATTTGACACTTGAGATTTGAATGCAGTTTTTGTTTCCCCCATACAGTAACGATGCTTGTTAGTTTATTAAGAACTGATGCATATTTTTCCTTTGCAATACGTAGCCATGCATAGTATAATTCCAAATGACTAAATGAGGGAACAAAGGACAAAGCCTGTGAAATGCTAGTAAGAATTGGAAAGGAACAGTGTTGTCAGTCTCCTCCATAGATTATAATGATGTTCTATAAAGTGCATTGTGATTGAAGTAATCTGTATCTGATTTAAATCTTTTGATAATTGAGATGTCAGATTGGCAAGAGATTAGTTAGACATATTGGGGTTTGTTGCACCGATGGTTGATAACTAGCTTCGTGCCCTGAAGACAGAGTAAGTTGTATTTTGTGTGTGACCTGGGAACAGAATGTGCTCGCGCCGATGGAGTTTATCCATCTCAGCAGGATTTTGTACCGTGGACACCGTGCCATGGTGATAAAGCCGCACATTTTTCATAGGTGGACAACGCTTGGCTGACTTAGAGCACAGGCAGGGCAATACCTCGTGTGCCTGCAAAAAACTGTTCAGTGTTAAAGTTAGTTTATTTTAACAGGTACTCCTCTCCCCTGCCTTGGAACAAAAAGTGTGTTTCTTTCCCTTCTACTGTCTTTGTTAGTTGAGTTTGGGCTCTGATTTGCATGCTGTGGTGGATGGGAATCACCCAGCTCAAGGTTTGCAAGCCTGTTGCAGTTGATCTGCGGGAAAGCTGAGCTCCCCACATCCTTGGGTAGCTCCTTTTGCAGAGGACACGTGCCACCTGCACACCTGTATAGGTGGAAACTCCCAGGAACCTGGGCACAGCTCAGGGCTGCTCAAAGCAAACAGTGTTCCTGTTCACCGTGGCAGTATATGTTCCTAGAACTCTATACGTGCCCATACGTCTCCAAAGGGAGTAAATGAATCTTCAGAGTAGCTGTAGGTGCCTGCTTGCTGGAACACTGCCCGCATGACCTCCGGTGAGGCAGTAGTCCAAAACCACTGCTGAGGGCAGTCTGGATGGTCAGGGGCTCAGAGGAAGGGAGCATGTGGCAAAACTGAGTGGTATTTTCAGGGTGACCCAAATGTCTGTACTCATTTGAAGATGTAAAATTGAGTTTGTTGTGCGTGGGGTCTGCATTGATTGCTTGGTGATCAGTGGCCATGGCCTTGTGCAGACTTCATCATGGGCTTTGGGAGCTGTTCAAACCAGGATGGCGTTTGCATGGGCACTGTTGGGAGAGTTGTGGCTTTAAATGTACAGGAGCTGGAAACAGGCCTATGCCGAACTGAAACAGCGTGGGTAAGTCCCTGCGCAACCCTTCCTGGGTCAGCTTGTAAGACCCATTCAGTTATTGAGATGTCTCCTCGTCCTTCCAAGTTTGTAGACATTCTGGCTGAAGTGACTGATGCATAGAGAAGTGATAGATGATTACAGCTGCAGAGAAAATAAACCGGTGAGCTTGACAACAGCTTCAGCCTCCAGGCAGGACCATAGTGCTCTCCAAACAATTGAGAAGGAGTGCCAGTGAGACCTCAAAGAAAAGTGACTGCACAGAAAACATGTTCTGGTTTAGAAATGTTCCAAAGGAAAACTTGAGAACAGTACACGAACACATCGGAGACATAAAATAGTGCAGCAATGAAATACTTGCACGTGCTGCTGTACTTGCGTAGCAGAACTGTGTGTGGGCAGGATGCTGTAACCTGCTGCACATGGGCAGACTGTGGGATCAGTGGGGAGCAGCAGCGAAATCACATTTTGCCCACATGGAGTAACCTAATCCCATAACCCACACTGGATTAGGAAGATGTCGGATTGGGGGAATTTCAAAATAGGTTTGGCTGAGGGGTTTTTTCGTTTTTTTACCATATTAAGAATTGCTTCCAATAACTACTGCTCGTTGTCCATAAAACTTCTGAGAGAATACATTGCGTGCTTTTCTATTCTTATAAAAAGCGAATAATGCAGAGCATGTTCCACTAGTGGGAACATCTGTTTGGAGAGGGGGGAAAAAAAAAAAGGAATAAAAGAAAAAAAAAAAGAAACAAATTCACCTGGCTTTTGAAACATACTGAAACCATCTGAAGAATTGCATCTAATAATTATACTCTCTGTAATTTTATACCAAAAATATCGCTGGAGGAACCTCATTGACATTTACATATTCAGCACTGGAAGTCAGAATAGTAGGCTTTTGTTTCAAGTGGTGCTGCTAAGAAAAATAGCTGAGGAGGTGAAAACTTGACTTAGACCTTCTAGAGCCACGTTTCCTTTACAGAGTGCATTGTGTTCTGATGTGTTTTGAGTTTACTTTATTTTCTCCTATTTGAGGGAGGTTTTGCCTCTTTCAAGTGAACACACTTTATATTTCTAATATTCCAGACAGAAGAATAAGAGGGGAAAAGCAAAATGTTACTCAGAGTGTGCATTAGTGCTTGTACTGAATAGAAAAGTAACAGTTAAAACCAAAATGGTTTTCAGCCTGCGACAAACACTGTTCACATTTTCACACCTGGTAGAGCGTATCGTATCAGGGTTCTCTGCTCCCCTGCACTCCCAGTGCAGCGGTGGGATGCTGCATTAAAAACCAGTAGTGCAAACTGTGTGCTGCCAGAAAAGCGCTGCTGCTGAAAAAAAAACTTTCGGACTGCCACAATCCTGCCATTCATATGATTATGGAGAATTTGGAAATTCCTTCTCTGTGTCATCTGTTTGAGGCGTGGTAGCAGCTCTACACCAGGTGAAAATGTGTGCGGTTGGTACAGGCTCCTCAGCCTGGCCCCAGGGACTGGTTAACCCTGCGGGTGGACCGCGATTTCCTGCTCTCCGCAAGACACTCTTGTGCTTGGCTTACTGGGCTCTGTGCAGGTGCTCAAGTGTTTTTTCTGGAGGGGGAGGAAAAAGGCATGAGGTACATGACAGTGAAGCTGGGGTGAGGATTCTGCTGGAAGGTGTTTGGTGTTGTTCTGGTGATAGGTGCTGTCTCTGGCTGTCTCCCTTAGTGACTCAAACCTAGCCCGTAGCAAGAGTTCTTTGGCATAGAAGTCTCTCTGCCCTTCCGTGCTGCTGAGGAGGTGCCCGAGGTCTCCGTTCACTGTCCGTGAACTCCCTCGCTCTAGTCTGGCTATGAAAAGTTAAGTCCCAACCTGAAGCCCAGAGTACCTTTAGAGGCAAGAGCTCTTTCTTTTCTAATCATGGGGACTCCTCTTTCTCCTGGTTGATGCTGGGCTACACTTTGTCGTCTGTAGTGACTGGGCTACATGATTTTTATGGTTTTTTTCTTTTCTGATTTGTCTGATTTTGTGTCCCTTGTTCCCTGTCCTAGGGCTGTGCCTCCTGGAACTGGTATTACCCTTTCCACTATGCTCCCTTTGCTTCCGACTTTGAGGGTATTGCGGACATGCCTTCAGATTTTGAGAAAGGCTCAAAACCGGTAGGGTGCCTTTATGTATTTATTGATGATTTAACAGTTCATTGGAAGGGCTCTACATCTACTTGTTTAATTTCAACAGTTTAAGCCTCTTGAACAACTTATGGGAGTATTTCCAGCTGCAAGTGGAAATTTTCTGCCACCAACGTGGAGGAAGCTCATGACAGATCCGGTAAGAATCTGTGTTTGATTCCTCTCTCTAAGGTTCCCTTGTCTCGCAGTTGTGTGAGCATGACTTGCTGCTGCTTGCTTCAGGCAGAAGAATAATGGAGACCAAGAGGGAACGGTTTTGGTAGATTGCAGAGATTCTTCAAAGATCCTTAGAAGTGGTTCTTTCAATTCAGATATTTCAGCGAGAAAAATTATTTCCTGACTCTTGTACACTTTAGTAAGATTGTTTAGTTTCTTATAGAAACCTTGCAGAACTTAACTGGGGAGCAGATACCTTAACCCCGTTGTCTGGCGTTATTCTATCCTGCTTAATTTCCTGGCTTGATACTCTTAAGTGATGGAAGCGCCCTACCACGCTTTGTGTTTAAATGGCATTTAATAAAACTTGTTTAATAAAAGATGTGCGTTAATAACAGATGACTGTTGGTCAGAGTTCTTTGTGTCCTCCTCACCTTTGTGTTTGCTCACCCTCTGCAAAGTACACTACTACATGGCATTCTGAATCAATTTAATAATTGACTTTAATGAATTTTTTTTTTAATTTTCTCAAATACAGGAATCAAGCATAATTGACTTCTACCCTGAAGATTTTGCTATTGATTTAAACGGGAAGAAATATGCTTGGCAAGGTAAGGTTTCAGTTTCCTGGTTTTTGAGCTGTAGTATACTGACCTTAGTCTTAGGAATCTATGTAAAAATAGGAAGAAAATGGAAAATTATCTTGGTGAGATAATGATGCACCAGGTCATGTGGGTAACTTGTGTTACTCAGTGTGGGGGAGGAGTGTTTTGCAGCAGGTATATTTTTAAGAGAAATTTGTATGAAGAACAAATTATGGCTCAGTAACTGATTTAGGCTTGGCAATGATTAGTAGTAATTTCAGCAGTCATTCTAGATTTGTTAATTTGTCCTGAACTAGATTAATCGCTTTTCTATTTTTATCAGCCTTCCTGTGTAATTGTCTTTTGTCTCCTTTGCATTTAATTAATGGATCTTGTTCTGTTCAATCAGTGGCTTATTAGTACCTTGTGAAAAATGCTTTGGGGAATACAGAAATATTTGGATGCATACAAAGAATTTAAAAACAGATACAGTCTCTCCTTTCTCTGGAGAATATTAATTTTAAGGTCTGCCAAATTTTGTATCTGGTATTCAGCCAATAATGTAACATCTCAAGTAGAGGTAAAATAATTACTCGGGCACAAAATGAAACACATGAAATTCCATCTGAGCGTAAGAAAGCACATTTTTTCCTGCAAGGGTGTTCAGACACTGGGACACGTTGCCTGGAGAGGTTGTGGAGTCTCCATCCTTGGAGATGTTCCAAACCCACCCAGCTGGACATGGTCCCGGGCAACCCGAGCAGCCCAGGCCCGTGCTGGAGCAGCAGCGATTCTGTGATTCTTCTCCCAAGGCAGCTCGCCTGTGTTTTGGAACAGCCACAGGTAGATGCAGGAGTATCTGACTTGGGACAGTGTTCCAAACTCAGAATATTCCTAGGCATTATGAGATGCCTTGTGTAGCAGGTTTTCCCTCTGTAACCCTTTCTTACCTCTGCTGGAATTCTCGCAACCTTCCGCAGTCCTTCTGTCCAGTTATCAGAGCCACAGTCTGAAGCAGTAAGGTTTTAAATAGCTCCCGCATCCTTTCAGCAGCCTGTAATGTTACTTTTGATTCATTTAATGCTTAATGGCTTTATAAACTCTTTGTTCTGGATTTACATCTGAAATTCTCATCCTTAAGGCAGTTGTGAGACTAGAAATATTTCCCAAGGTGGATGTACAGCCCCTCTCTGTTAAAAAGCATCTAGTATACCTTGTCCTCTTAATGAAATGTTTTAAGATCTTCCTTTTAGAGATGTGATGGCTCTTCTGAAAGCTCCGCATTGATCCTTTTTGCAGTCTCCTGGGTTATCAACACTTCCCATTTTGTTGTCATTCCACCAGTGTGTTGTGAAGCTGAAAGCAGATTGTTTGTTTTCCAGGGTAGGCTTGTCACTGTTTCCCATCCCAAGCAGTTCAGTTCCAGCTGAAATTCGGACACGGCTGAGGTCTGGCGCTGTCTTTGATAAAGCAGTAGCCAGTCTGCGCGGAAATTATCCTTGTATTTTGTGAGCAGAGACCGTGCGGGTTTCTCGTTTGGTGTGGTTGGCAACAGCAGGATGCACAGTTCTGCTCCTTGTTGTGTTACAACAGGCTAAATAATGTTCGGATTCAGTTCCACTTCTGACATGTTTAACACTTTGTTAGTGGCTTGTTCTCAACTGCTTTTGTTAGGAGAGGGTACGAGCTTCTGGTGTAATTGCACTTGAGGGGAAGTTTTAGGTTGTCCCCTTTCCTTCAGCTCCAGGACAATAGCATTGGCTATAATGAAGGATCTCACTTCTGAAGCCAGAGTTCCAGGCAGGCCAAGTTTCAGGTTGGGAATGTAAGGCTGTAGAAGTCAAAGTCTCTGTGAATGTTGTACCTTAGAGTGATGACAAACGTGTCGGAGATCTGCCCACCGGTAGAACTGGTACGGACACAAATAGGAGACTACAAACATCAGTTTGGTAGAAATACTTTGCTGTCATCTTGGTCAGGAAAAGCTCTAGCATTCATGGTAAGGGAAATAAAATAAAAAACAAAATAGTTGCTCCCAATTCCAACCAATAATAGGGGTGGCAGAAGTAAATCTTTGAAGAATTTTCATACTGAACTTCTTAGTGCTTTTTTGGGTTTTATAATAGAAGAAAACATATACTGGAGCATACCAGGATGGGCTGTTCTCCAGCTTCATCCGGTGTGATGGAGTGGGCTCGGAGATGTGCTGCTGAGTGGAAGATTAATAGCTGGTATGACTAGTCCCTGATGGATGATATCTGTATCGCTGTGTTGTGGAACTTGGAGTGATGTTTGTCTCCGTTGTTGTCTCTGAAATAATGAATTTGAATAAAGTAGCACAGTGTTCTGTCAGGGGAGTGTTGTAGCAAATGAGACAAACACTGACTGTCGTACTGAGCTGCTCTGGCTCCTAAAGGAGGCAGGGGTGGGTGGAGGTCACTGCCTCCCAGTGCCTGCACAGGGCTGGGGAGGAGGAGGAGGATGGAGGGGTGCTTGTACATGAGCTTCCCTTTTCAGCCTGCACTACTACTGAGCTGTTTTTTCCTAAATGGCTTACAGGGTCACAGTCTCTGAAAATGTAGGAGCTTCTTTTCTGCGATGGATGCAACGGTTGTTTCTTGGGTAAAGAATCTGTTGGAGCTTTCCATGATGGTGGCTTTGGTTTTAGCAAGTGTGAAAAAAGTAATGGTTTTGTTTTCCCAGGTGTTGCGTTATTGCCATTTGTTGATGAGCGACGCCTTAGAGCTGCCCTGGAAGAAGTCTATCCAGACCTCACCCCTGAAGAAAGTAAGAACTGTGATTTTTGTTACAACTTGCTTTTACTGCTGTGTTTCATTCCAAGTGAGCAAGGTGTAGTAGATGTCTGCTTGGATTGAATTATGCGAGGCTGTAACCTCTTCATGGATGGTGCTGGTGACTAGAATTCTCCTCGATGGGCTTGATTTTGTAGCTTTCCCTTGCTGTTATTTTACTGACGTAGACCTAAACCTGCGTAAGGCTTAACCTGAAAGTGAGATGGCAGCTTAATTGTATGAAAAGCGTCTGTCAACGGGACAGTGTGCTGGTCTGTTGTGTTCCTCCCTTCCCCCTCTGCTCTGAACTCTTATCCCTTTCTCTTCATCTTTTCTAGGCAGGAGAAATAGCCTCGGTGGGGATGTTCTCTTTGTTGGAAAACACCATCCGCTTTGTGACTTCATTGTAGAGCAGTACAAGACCAAAAATACCGAGGTAGGCTGTACTTGTTTTTAAGGGTTTGTGTAAATGGTGGCGGTCTAATCAAGTGCTTCAGCTGAAAAATTGTTTTTTCCATAGCCAGTGGATATACCGCCAGAGCTGTGCCATGGAATCCAGGGAAAGCTGACGCTGAATGACAACGCCGTTCTTCCAGACCAGTGAGTACGGCTTTTGGGCTGGGTTCTTTGCTGCTCAAGGACATTTCCTTCAGTTATGTCTGCATTTAAATAAAAATCTCTTTGTGCCCCCAATGAGCAGCCTGCAGCTCCTGACAAGGCAATGTAGCTTTCCACTACGATTCCTGGTAGGTGTGTATTATCACCAGCATATGTGAAAAAACAAGCAAGTAAAACTTGAATTCTACATTCCTTTTTTTTTTTTAATTTCATAACTAGGCTTTATTTCATAACTAGTTTATTTAATAACTTTAAAGTGCTCTAATGTGTGTGTTTAATTGCTGATGAATCTTTTTTTGTCATTTCATCTACAGAGGACTGATTTTTGTGTATTTGGTAATGTTTGAACTTTAATAGGAAAACAGGGCCTATGTAGTAAAGTAGTGGTGGTTAGTGGCCTCATTCAGCAGGGCCATGGGGCTTTGGCCTCTTTGCTTTTGTATGGATGTTGATTTAATGCAGTCTGCTCTAACTTCCAATAGTGCATGCTGTTTAAAAAAAAAAAAAAAAAAAACCAAAAAGCAACTCTGCTTTTTATATGCTAATCTTAGTTGCAGTAAAGAAAAATCCAGATAAAGATAGATTTTGCCATTTTCCATTGAGGCTATAGCACTAACTTCAGGACTATTACCAGCCGCCACCCATATAAAAAATGCTAATGTTTTTTTGTTTTCTAGATAATGCATTTAGTTTGGGAAATTATCACTGTAATCTTCACATTGTAGCATATGTATTCGTTTATCTGACTTTGCTTAGAGGCATAAGCAGGTGTTCAGCAACTCATTTGCATTAAATGCACCAACACTTGGATTTTGTTGGACAGATAATGTATCCGAGGTCACACTCACTAATATACGTTTCTCTGTTCTTGTCATGGCTTGTGAAGAATATGAGCAAGTCGGAGCTCTTGGAGGAAATAGCAATGCAGGAACAAGAAAACTCTTCTGGCATTGCATTCCCTAGATAGGGCGTGAAAAGTGGGAGGTTTTTTACCTGGAGAAGTAGCTTGCTAAGGATTCTGTGCAGATGAGCAGGTGTTGATATTGCCGCTTCCAAAGAAGTCTTACTTCTGCTACTGCTAAAAAACTTGGCTCAAATTCAGACAGCGTGTGGACAGTTTGTGACCTCGTGTAACCTGGGGGTGTGACAGTTGTGGGGTGAATGAGGAATCTGGTTTCTGATTGGTAAGAGTCATCTTCTCAAGCATTGTTTGGCGGCTTGAGTTGAAGGAGTAAAGTTTTCTGGAGGAAAGGGTTAACATGGAACTGCATGTCAACCTGTTGCATCTCAGAGAGGAGGCTCTAACTGTAAAACAAATGCTAATTTTTTTTTTGTTTGTTTTTTACATCAAAGCTTTTTTCTTCCTAGCGAAGCAGGTTTGTGTCTTCATGATGTCTGCGTGTATATGTGTCTGTGGTCTTCTCCTGTCCTCCTAGAGCCTGTTGGCTTGTGATAATCACACCCTAGCAGTCCGGGGAGGTTTCTGAGGTGCAGAATAGTACTAAGGTTTGTAAACAGGCTGCAGGGCGGTGGGAAGTGTGTGGACCCGCTGTTAGACACCAGAGGATCCACACAGATCAGCTGCAAAAGGAACAAAATAAGGCTTCAGTAATTCCATTGCTTAAGGAAGTATTTGATTTAGGAGAAAGGCGAGTTAATTTTTAAATCCTTTTGATGTGTAGCAGGCTTAGTTGACAGAGGAACAGGAGTGGTAGCAACAGAGACAGTGGAGCAAATGATGAGGAATGTGTTACATGATGTTTTGACAGAGGTTTTTCTCTTTACCAGGACGGTGGAGTCACCTGTTCCAATGCTGCGTGATCTTACACAAAATTCTGCAGTCAGGTAAGTGAACTCTGGGGTTTAGTGCAATGGCATACACAATACGGCCATCAAAACTCAGCTCATTCTGGTGTTAAATTTGCAACAGAATCCATCTCTTAGTAAAATGGAGTATTTTATTTTAAAAGTTTCTGGTCTTCTGTGAGAACTGAATCCAAGGTATGACATTGTAACACAGCAGGCTTGGGTTCAGGTGGTTAAGCAGCACGTCGTGACATCTCCTGCGAAGGTGGCCAGAATGGTTGTTCCTCAGTGCGTCAAACCCAGCATGTGTCATCCCTTGGGAAATACCTCATCTTCCCTCCTGTTGCTTTTCTGCTGGCTTTCTGTTGGGACTCTTGGGTCTTTGACAAGCAAAGAGCAGCACCTACAGAACTTGATAGTCAGTATCAAGCTTTTTAAATTAAAAAACCCCAAACATTCACGACAGCAAGCCTCCAAGGCAGAGTTGGGTTTTGACTGAAAGCCCTCCAGCTCTTCATTTCTGCCTCTTGGATTTTTATCCATTTTTATTCCTAGCAATTCCCAGAGGGTGCCTGAGAATGTCATCTTCCATGTCTTTAAGAAGTAAAGGAGTAATACTAAATCTGCCTGAATGCGCTGTTTGGGAGAATAACAAGAGACCTCATAATGAATAAAAGCCAATGTGGAGTTTCCAAGAGTAAACCTTGTGGTCACAGAAGATTTTAGTTACTCTTGCACTTGATGGCAGATTTCTGTAGATGTAGTGTAGTCTGTCATTCTCACTTAATTTGTCACGGTATGCTAGGTGTGTAATGCTCGAGCCTGGAACCTTTCACTTCTTCAGCCACAGAAGATACTCGAGACACTGAAAATCACTTGTGATCTGTCTGTATCATTTTTTCCTCCAAGGAGGCATAACTGGGTTCATCTAGAACAACTATCTCCAGGCAGTAAGAAATGCTGCGCTGTGGCTTGTCAAGGTGTTGTAGAAAGGATGTTCTGAAATGAGGATTTAGTTACTTTGAGCGATGAGTTAAAGGCGGTTTCTGGCTTTCCATCTGCCCCTGTCAGGAGGTTTGAATTGTTTTACGCTTCTGTCCATTTCTCTGTTGCAAAGATTTCTCTTCCTGTCTTTTGAGATAGTATGAGCAGTCATGATTCTGCTCTTGGGTTCTTGTGGCTTTGGCTGAATTTTCCAAGGGATCATTAGTCTCTTTCCTTCAAGTCTCATTCATTCTCTGTGCTGAAAACCAGATGGATTTCAGCTGGAAGCGTGAGATTATTCTGCTTAGCTGTTTGCTTTTCTCTTTCCTGGCATCCCAAGCTGTATCAAATGGTAGGTAGTGAGACAAAAGGAAGCAAGTTGGTGCTGGGCACTTCAAGTATGTGCTTGGTGGGTCCTGCCTGAGACCTGGATATTGCTAGGAGTGGGGATAAATTTCCCTAGAGCAAACCCCAACTGCTGTATAAGGCGTTGTACCACCAGAAATTGGGCTTTCAACCACTTTTTGCTCTATTACTGTGAGTTTGTCTAACAGTCGACAGCTCAGAACACAGGGTCTGTGGGGTGTCACTGCAAACAGGTGTGTGTCCCTCCTTGGGAATTGCGTGCAACTGCAGAGCCGCTGCTCAGGATAAAAACCCCCTGGCCCAGGAAGTCCCACTTCGGAGTTTTGTCCACTTTTGACCAGACTGCATAGCAAGCTGATATCCTTCCTGGCTGTGCTGCGGCAGCCTTTGAACTCCAGCAAGTACAATCAGGGCTTTGACTAGAGGATTTGTTCTCAAGGGGCTGGAGAAGGTACTTTCATTACCATACATAGGATCGACTGTTTTCTAGACATTAAACTTGCTTTTGGGCTGGCTGTTGATACAGAGGAGGAAAAAGATCACCCTGTGTAAAATAATTGAGACATCCAAGTCCAGTATAGTCCATATTTCCATGTGCAAGAAATGCACTTTGCAGTTTAAGTCGTGGGTTCTTGAATCCTGTTTTTTCTTCTCTTAATAAAGCAGCAATTGCTTTTAAGTCTTGCTTGTCTTAATTTTTCATTTCCTCAAATATTTTCTCCTAGTATCTCATTCAAAGATCCACAGTTTGATGAAGACTTTGTTTTCAAGGCTGTAGTGTTACCTGGTGCAAAGTAAGTAGCAGTTGTCCGTTTTCACATAATGCCGTTTTCTTTCATTAATCTGAGTATTTGCTCTGATAAGTATTTATGGAACTATTTTTAATATTAAGGAAACCTGCTCCAGTTCTGAAGCCAGGAGACTGGGAAAAAACCAACAACGATGGCAGGCCTTGGAGACCGCAGCTGAATTTTAATCGGGACAGAAAACCAGTCCATTTGGACCAGTCAGCGTTCAGAACCTTAGGGTAAGACTGGCAGCATTGTTATTGACTGCCTTGTTGAGGTGACCATACTCCTTTATTCCTTTTTTTAATTAAAAAATTAAGAAACAAAGGGGGCAGGGATGGACTGCCAGAAATTAGGTGCTGGTATTCTGTGTTGGAAACTGGCATGTGATACTTAAATTCAGTATTGATGAGAGCTGTAGATTACAATTATTTTGCTGTAATGCCTTGCATTCTTCTTGATTTTGGGTTTGGGTTTTTTCTGCTCAATATTTCTAACTTTCCCATTGGGTTTTTTCAACTTGTTTGGTGGATGCTCACTTGAAGTACAGAAGGTACAATGAGAAGATTGCACACAAGTGATAAGTAAGATTATTATGAAGACAGTAATGTATTTTATGCTTTTAAAAACAGGTTTTAAAACCCCTTGTTTGTAGCACACAAGCTACACCATGCAGACTGTTTGATTGTCATTTTTCGAGGCATTGCCACAGTCAGTTTTTCAGTTCTCCAAAAGTCCAAGTAACTTTCTCAGGTGCTGCAGTGTAGTATGAGAATGCTGTGAGCACAGGATGAGAGAATGAGCTGCGGAGAATGTTTTAAAGGAGATTGTAATACTATCAAATAAAATTGAACTCTGTGAGCAACCCAACACGAGTGTCTCCTTAGGAAGAGAAAATACCTTTTTCATCATGTAGCTCTGGAGGAGCTGGAAGGAGAAAAATCAACACCCTTCCCTCCAGTTGTGTGTTGGCAAGCGTAATTGTATTTGCAGATCCGCATCTCTACCAGCTCTCTCTTATTAGGAAAGGTGACAGCTTACACAGTCTGCAGGAAATGCGTGGGTTTTCTGCTTCTTGTGGCTTGCTGTAGAAACTGCAGGATTTTTGCTGGGACCAGCTCACAAAGTGTGTGTGTTGTGGCAAGCCTGGGACTCTGAGCTGTGAGCGAGTCGCTGCATCCTGCGTGTGCGCATCTCCAGTGACGCACTGGAGAGAGATGGGGTACTCGATGGGCTGGGCAGCAGCTGTGCTGCAGGTTGGCATTCATAAAAACATCCTATTCTTTTTTCTTTCTGTTTTTCACACATGACAGCCATACGATGCCAAAAAAAATGTATGCCAATGCCGTACCTCTCGGAGCTTATGGGAGCCCATACGCCAGGCCGCTTCTGGGTGGACAGCAGCAGATTCCTAGGTTGTTGTCAAGTAAGTGGGCTCTGCTTTCTACTAGTTTGAAAAATATTATGGCTTCATTTTAGTCTGTTGCACTGTTGCAAATAAAAAGTGGATTCGGGCATCTGTCTTCATTAACCTGGTGTTGCTCTTCTCTGTTGCTCTTCCTTTACGGAACTGCTGGAGTGAAATGTCCTAAAATGTAACTATGTGTGTCTGAGTGGGATCCCATCGTGAATGCTGTGCCTGGCGTTCAGATGCAATAGCAGAAGTAGGACTTTGTCTGCTAAGGGTTCCTAGTGGCTGTTATCCGGAACATGTGCAGTGTGTGGCTGAACCTCAACATCACCTGCATCAGCGGACTTAGCAGAAGCCTGGTGCTTTGTGTCTGAAAAGAGGAGGATGCTGGCCACAGAAAATAATTAATGCACAAGGCATGGTTGCAAGTCAGGAGAGATTGTAGGACTGGTGCCGAGATGCCAGGCTGAACCCAAACTGCTAATTCACAGTCTTGTGTTGGCTTCTCCTGCCTGCGGTGGGTGTTGCAGCTTCTGTCAAGGAGCTGGTAGGAGATGGCTGGGGATGCCACTGCTGCTGGCTTGGTGAGCACGTGGGTCACTGGAAGTGGTGAGATAAATCCTGCGTGACCTAAAGTGGAGTTCTCCATCCTGGGAAGGAGTTGCTTGTGCAAAAGACTCCCAAACAGGACACCAGTTAAGAGTCCAGTCTCTTCGCCTGTGATCAGGAGCTGCGTTTCTGTAATGGCAGGATTGACACAGGAGGAAACTCGGCTAAACTGCATAAAAAGATGCGTTAAACTCAGAAGTTCTCACTGGTCAGCTGAATTCTTGCAGTATTGAATGATGCCAGTGTTTGAAGTTTAAACAGCTGACACAAGGAAAGTTTGAACTCCAGCATTTTGTCACATACAGACCGGATCACTGCCTGGTGTCGGTGTCAGCCTTTTCATACTTGACTTGCGTTTTAGCTGCATGTGCAACAGCAAACAAATAGTATCAATGGCCATTGTGAATTAAACTTGTTGTCCAGTCCCAAAGTGGATGAAGTGTAGTGGAGCAGTGAGTGCAGAAGCTTTCTTGTGCAAGGAATCAAATTGGTTTAAGTGGAGAGACGGATTGAATATGAGTGCCTGGAGCTATTAACTTTGATTAGAGGAAAACAAGGGTTTTTTTTAAATAAGCAAGAAATAGGATCTGAAAAGAAGAGTGTGGGGAATGGGAAGGCAGACAGGCATCACATTTTTGTATTAATTTCCAAAAAGAGAAAGTCTCTGTGGTTTTGGGGAGAGAGAAGCATTCATGAGCCCATCAGTTCCTATACTGCTGTTCAAGTCTTCTGAAGCTCGAGTCTACACTTTGTGGGAAATGCTTATTTCAAAGCAGTTTTTGCTGCCTTACATACACGGAGCTGATCTTGCCAATTAGGTACTTGGAAAGCTCTTGTCCTCGTGGCATCTGAGCAGCTCGTGTTGTATAGGAAGCACTCCACATGCAAATATGCCCCAATGCCATTCTTCTTTCAGATCAAGGAGGCTTGAATCCACTGATCGATACAAAATCCCAGTCCATCTGTTGGCCTCGGAAAGACTGTCTGGTCACACGTCCCTTCCTCCTCTTATCTCCTGACCCCTCCTCACCCTCGAATTGCCTCGGGCATCCCCGGTTGCTGTTCTCCAGGTGTGCCTGGCAAATCTGAAAGCAGGGCTTTTTTTTTTCCTGCCTGTTGTGCCACTTTGCCTAACAGAAAAAGCAGCATTAAGGAGAGGTTGATCTCGCGTTTTCCTGTTTGTGCAGCAAAAATTGGTGCCAGGTCAACCTGCCGGTCCCTCCAGCCGCCGTTGCAGCGCGCAGCTTTGCCTGCTGCCAGCGATCGTCGTACAAAGGCTTTTTCACAAAGCAGGGCTTGTGCGCCTGCCGTTGCTCGCTGGGGCTCTTCATCCCGGAGTCGAGAAGCTGGTTCCTGGCACTCTCTGTTTTTGTGGGAGGCCGCGGTGCAGCATGCTGCAGATGTATTCTTTGTCAGTTAATTTTGTTGTGTTTCTCCTCCTCTTCTGCTGATGATACCAAGCTGTCCTGGGAGATTAGTCTTAAACTCTAATTAACTTCTGATTTGAACTGACCGCGATGTGAACTCTTTACAACGGACTACACCAGCAGTTGACTGAATCGCTGCCAAGTATCCGCATGCTAACTCCTCTTTTAGCAGGTAGAGACCCTGGTAAAAGGGTTAAACCCTTGTTAGAATACACCCAAGTGCCATAACCCAGAATTTCTGTGGAAATCAGTCTTTCTGACCCTTGCACTGACGGATGCTTTTGCAAATGGGACCGCACCTGGACACCGTAACACATCCTGGATTTTGGACGGTGTGGGTTGAGTGCGAAGCAAACCCATTGAGATGGGAGCGTGTCGCAGCTCTCTGAACCTCGCTGCAGTAGGTGGTGGTCATCTTACTGACCAGGAACAGTCTGCATGGACAGTGCCTTTGCTCCGATGGAAATTTGAGGTCGGGATTGAGTACCTGGGCCAATTCCACCCAGACAGCCTTCTGTCTTGGAGCGCCGAAAGGTGTTCCTTGATCTGACAGCACAGCTGTCTTGCTTTTTGCAGTCACCCCCTTCAGTTTCAAGCACAAATGTCTCTGTCAAAGCACAGGTATCCTCGGCTAGAAAATCAAATTAGAAGGCATATGCTGAGCTTTTTTAATGGAGCAGGTCATCCCTTGTGTCAGTCATGTTCATCAGCTATGTGACAGTGAGAGAGCAGCCATGTGTTGTGGCATGATTGGATTGGGAAGCGCTTGGGACCCACACGTTCCTGAAAAACTAGAGCTGATGTGGTTAAAATTCCCACACTTTGTGGGATTGCTGCAGAGCAACTTTTCATTTTGTGTGTTATGTTTTTATATGTATGATGAAGTAAAATTAGACTCTAGAAGGGCAATGCGGTCAGCCGAAGTGCCATCTCCTCCTCAAGAGCCTGCTGTGGGTGTTCCTGACTGTTGTTCTCTGATTTGACTTGGATGTGCCAATTTTCAGCTGATGAATAATTGTCTGTGCTGATAAATGGGGGAGTCAAGTGCGGTACGGCGGTACTCTGTGAATGGCAGATCTGGTTTCTGCAGCGCAGGATATCTGATTTGTGACTTTCATTTCAGTCAGTAAACTTGTCAATTAGCTGCGTTTGAAAAGTGATTTTGATTAGTGCAATCAGTAAACACAAAATCTCGTCTTTGATTGCCGTGCTGATTAGATAAATTGTCACTTGAGGAGCTGCCAGAGAAGGCGGTTTATTTGGCCTTATAGCTCTAGGAAATGCCTAAGTTTTGAAGACTAAAGAAAATATTAATTGCCGTTTCTTCTCCGATTTTGTGCCTTTTTGAAGTGCAATTCACTGCTCCCAGCTTTTTCCCTTCAAAGACTGTTCTCTGCCAAAGCCATACAAATGGACAGTAATAAGGTGGCTTTCAGTGTTGCTGTGATGATTTCGTGGAGCTCTTTCTTAAACTGTTCCCTAGAGCTGCTGGTTACAGCAGATGGAAAGACAGTGATTAAACAGGACATGTTTTTACCAGCCCCTAGGCAGGGATCTGGATGAGTGGCGAGACCAGCAGCATCTCGCTGGGTTCCTCACTGGAGCACCATTTGACCTTGGCAGTGGAATGCAAAATGTGTTCGTAAACCTCAGCTCAAATGTGAGGTTCTGGGCAGGGAGGGAGAGACTGCATCCGTCTGTGTAATTGTCAGGATGCCTGGGGGTCTTGCCTAGCTCAGCCTGCACGGAGGAGAGGGGTGAGGAAAGCATCCCCATTATTCTCCATGGAATATAGGGGTTTTTTCTGGAAGTTGGTGTCTCCAAGCAAGCAAACGGAGAACTGGCCAGGCTCAGGTTGGTCAAAGCCCCGTCATTCTTCTGTTGCATGTATTTCCACAGTGCTGGTCTGGTGTCTGAGAAACTTTGAAATTGTTAGAAATAAAAAGTCATTTCAGGATATTTTTGGATTGAGAGTAGTGACACTCTTAGGCTTTACCAAATTATTTTTTTTTTTTTAGCAATTTCATCTTTGTACGTCTTTTTTAAGCTTCAGTTTAACTTAATAGCTTTTTTTCCCTGCACCTGCTGCCTGAACGCAGCGTTATGGGCCTGGGTTTTCCTGTGGTGCACTGATCTCGTGTTCAAAAGCAAACACGGTGTCACGAAGGCATCGTATTAGCACAGGCTGTGTGTGCACGGCAGAGTCCCTGTGGTTCGCAGGCTGATTAGTGTGAAAGCGCCACGTCTCTGTCTGTAGCCCTCGCGATGCTTTAGGCTGGTTTGGTTATGGTGTGTGTGGAATAACCAATTACACCTGATGACCAGCATCAGTTTAACAGTATGTATGTGTTTGGTGGGGTTTTTTCCCCTTTTTTTTTTTTTCAAATTATTGCAGAGCATTAGAGTCCTTGAACATTGGCAGTTTACCAGGGCGCTGCTGTCCCATCACAGCAGGTCCCCATTAGACAACTTCAGGAACCAGCTGGTGAAATTAGGTCACACTTAGCCACCATTGAAAATAATCAAAGGTGTCACCGAAACCGAAGCTTTTGATTGATGCACAAGCTGAGTGTTGTGGGCTGACCGGGGAGCTATTGATTAACTGGTTCTTTTATCCTGTTTACCGACCAGTTTATGTAGAAGAACAACCACCGGTTAATTGCGTGTCCCGTTAAAGCTGTGTTGTTGCTGCGCTGTCTTTGTAAGGAGGTAGTTTGGGCAGAAGAAACAATTGAGAAGTGGGTGGTCTTTCTCTCTGCAGTTCCTTATAACTGCTGTGCTGGGTCTCTGGACAAGTTTTTACCCAAAAAATTTAATTCAGTCTGATTACATTATCTGGGAGTTCATTAATAGATTTTTATTGTTATATTACTATTGTCTGGGTTAACTTTAAAAATGTATTTTTGCTGTCTTTAAAGCTATCCTAAATATAACTGTGTTTATATATTTTTTAAGTATGAATGAGGTGGAACTGTTTGCTTTATTACATCCTCTGGTTGTTCTTTGCGTTTGCTCTTCTATTCTGTAGACTAACGTAACCTGATCAGAGGGGAACTTGCCCATGTTTTGAGTATTAAACAGTTGTTGCTCACAAGCAGATGATGATGGCACAGGGGGGTGCGTGTGTGGATGTGTATCTGTATTTTTTCATCTAGTGTGGTGATGAATGTACCTGTAAGAAATGTCAACATTGCCTGCAGTCTTTGGTTGTTACTGGTTTTGCATTTTTAAAAATTCCAGAGAGGTTACCTGTGAAGTGTCCAAGCACTAACCAATGCTAGTTCTAGGAATTAAAATTCATTCTTCTTATAACTTCAAGCTTATTAGACACATTAAGAAAAATAAGTGCCTTTTATTAATTGCTACTAAACTTGCCTCTGATGGACACAAGGGCTCTGTCGAAATCAGCAACAGGAACCTGCAACTTGGTGCAATGTGTTCGGTAGTACGTACAGTCCGAGATTGTCTGTTTGACTTCTTCAAACAAGTTACTGGGAATGTATAAGAGTGAGTGGAGCACAGTTCTTCTATACTTGCTTTTTTTTATTATAACCATTTCTTTTACCCTCTAGATCTCAGACCCCAGGAGTCTTGGCGAGGTCCGACACCCCTGTTTCCACAGACCCCGCAAAGGTAAGGCAGGAGGGACGGAGGTTCAGTACATCGTGGCCAGGAGGATGTACTTGGTTCTGCCAGGCGTCACAGCTTTTATTTTTTGGTCTTTGTTTTGAGCTTTGAAATCACGCTGTACAGCAGGGGTTTTTTTTAAGTTAATTAATGTCCATGATTTATTTATATTTTGTGAGTGCACTATGTGGTACTCATCCTTTAAAAGGCTCGAGTACTTTGTATTAAAAAAAAGAAGGCAAAAACACTTTCCATTAAAACTCAGACTTCAAAATTAACTTTACTGTTGGTGCTTTGGTACCGTTCGTGGTTCTTTGGCCTTTATCTTATTGAAGCTTTTGAGATACTATGAAATTGAACACAGAGAGCTTAAAACTGCATTAGATTTTGGACAGGCTAAACAAATTTCTTTTTAGGAGGGCTGTGGAGCTTAATGAGGCATAACTAATGGTGTTCCACTTTTATCATTTCTGTGCCGCAGCCGCAGCATTAGTACAGACCAGCCATTGATTCTTGCTACAAACCTCTTGAAGTCCTAATCAGCTTCTTTGGTACAAGTTTTTCAGGCCTGACAAGCCTATTGTAGGGCAGTGTCACTGTAGGTCAGTAGTTATTAGTTGCCACTGAAACAGTTTCTTTAACTACTTAAGACTGAACTGAATTAAATGCAGAAGGGACTCGGGGAAGGATTATGGAATCTGCAGCCCAAGAAGTGCCATCGAATAGAAGGAATGTGACATGGTTTGGTAATAAGGGATGTTTTCCGTGCGTTCCTGCACTGATAGGTTGTACGTCCTTAAGTCAGGCAGACTTTATAAACTCCAGCATACCTGCCAAAGCTATGAATAATTATATTTATTTATATTTATGGAGGAGTGACAGTGTATGGGAGATCTTTGAAGTTTCTGCTCTGAGGCACAACTCTTTTTTTTTTTTTTTTTCCTGGTTTTATTTGCAAGTGTTAACCATTGAAAATATCCGCTTTGGGAGAATTTCTTGAGCTCTCTGCAATCACGCTTTCCATGGCAACCATTCTGATCCCTATTGAAATAAGTCCGGCTCCCTTGTCCTGTGCCACGGCAATGTGGAATATTGCATTATAAACGAATCTTGCATTACAGACTTTTAATATGACTTTGTCTATGGCAATTGCTATTCCCACACCTTAATTAAATACAATTTATATAGCACTGTTTTGTGACATACTGCTGCAGGTCTGTAACTTGTCATTGCTTTTACAAGGCTGTACTTTGATCCTTTTACCAGGCTGTTTATTTTTGCAGGTTTTGCCCTGTTCTGGGAAGGTGTTTGATTTGAGAAACAAATCAAACAGGCACTTGGGGCTGACGTTGAGTTTGTTGCTATGCAGAAATAAGCCTGGAGACTTCAGCAAAATTTTAAACAGAAACATAAGGATAGATAGGCTTGGTGCAGGAAAAAAATGGCTGAAGCTGCTGAACTGGAACCCTCCCGAGAGGTTTTCAGTTTCCCAGTTAATTCCCTGGGAGCTGTACCAGTACCCCCAAGGCTGTCCCCGCTTGCTGCTGCGGTTTCAGGTGCTCCGGGAGCAACAAGGTGCACTGGTGGGAGCAGCGAGGAATTTCTGTTCTCCATCACTTCTGTTCCCAGGAAGAAAGTAATGGAGGGAGAGGCCAGCCCCTGCTCCAGCCTTTCCGGGTGAAGTGGGTGGACAGGAGGCTGTGGTATCCTTGATTTGCGACATCAAGCAAGGGATAAGCAAAGAGCCATGTCGCTGCCAGGAGAGCTTTGAGCCTGTATGCCGCTCCGGAGATAGAGTATTGCAGTGGGGGCTAAGCTAGCTCTAGCTTCCCAGGCCTGGGTGGAAAAAACCCAGCGGTGTAAAGCTGCCGCTTCACAAGCCAGGTGATCTCCTCTGCATAAGATTTCTTGCTTTTAAATTTAGTGATGAAATTCAGTGTGCAGCAAGTAAAATAAAATTGGCTGTAATGCTGAAATGCTTGCATGAAGTTCAGTGTTTCAGCACTCCTGTACGTACGTGCTTTAGTTCAGTCATAAGCTGACGTAACTCTGGGTAGTGCACTTGAGTAACTGCTGATGTGCGCTCCTGTGATGTTCCAAGTGACACCGCTCTTTTTTTGTTACCCGTGAGGCACAGCTGTGCTGCATACAAATCTCCACCCTCGGGTAGTTTGGATCACCGATAAATGCACCCACCATGAAGTCAAGCGCTGTGAGGACTGCAGTCTCCTGATTCCTGTTTGCCAGATGAAAATCTAACATTTTGTTTTTGAAAAATAGTACATAGCTCTGTGAATTAAGAGCAGCAAAAAGGTGTAAGCTGCTTTTCTGGTTTTAAGATCAGAAAATGCACTGTAGCTTTTTTTTCTCCTTTTCCTGCTGGGTTCATCCTCTGGAATATGCAGTGGTTCTGGCTGGAAACCACCAATTTCACTCTCGCTCTTGAAGCAAAAACGCCCCAACATAATAGTGATATTAGTTTTAATGTGCTTCATTTGTTGAATAGCCCAACTTTTCCCTGAGCAGCACTTCATTAAAATAAAAAGTTTAAACTCTGTGCCAAATACGTAGGAATGTTAAATGGAATTTGTGTCACCCTCTCCCGTTCCGGGCACGTAGCGAGTGTTGGCTTGCCATCATCAGTTGCTGCGGGTGTTTATCACAGGCACCTTAACAAAGCTGTAGGGACAGAGTGGCTGTTGATGGAAGCCCTAGAGCTGGGGCTATAGAGGGAATTCCCTGTAGTTTTCCTGAAGGCTGAGCAGTGTATTCTTCCTGGAGAGACCGCTGTTTTCTAGGAATAATGGGGGAAGAAGAGTTAGTACTCCAAATACTTCATCAAGAGGAATGTCGTACTTAGAATACTGATTTTGAGTGTTTAGTCCCCGAGGCTGTGATGGGCTATTAACTGTAAATATAATATTGTTCCTCCTAGGGAATGATTCAGATAGCGTTGTGCATGTCTAGATGTACCTCTGAAGTGGAAAACCAAACCACCCAGTTCAGCGTTACTGCTTAGCCTTAGTGCATGTCCATTTTTAGTACCTGCAGTGCACACTGTGTTTACCAGCTGCATGTTTATCAGCTAAGACTTGTACTTTTTATAAAGAGGAATCAAGTTATTTCATTTCTAGAGGTGGCAGGAGTTTCTTTTGCCTTTCCGAAATTCAGGCAGGTCTTGATCTGACCAGCTGGAGCAGCTGTCTTGCAGGATGTAGGGTGAAACCAAAAGCAATTTCCATCCAAAACCAGAAAGCCTTTGTGTCCAAAATGCCTGTTTTCATCCATTGTCATCTTACATTTACCTGCCTCGATTCCAACCCTGCCTCTGTTCCAGATGGTGAAACGTGTGTTTAAAAGTCCTTCCTCCCCCAGCACTGCTTCCTCAGGCGCTCAAGGTGCAGTTTGCCCAACACTGTTCAGCTGCTGTGAGTCCCCCCATGCTCCTCCCTGCCCCGCCTGTGCATTTGAAAGAGTCCATCAGCCTCTGCATCAGGTTGCTCCTCCAGGGCTAAGTCCTGCTGATTTAACCCAGCAAATCTTAGCAGAGGCTCTTTGGAGACAGAGCAACTTTCGGTTGGGCGGTGCAGCAGGTAGATGTGCAATGCAGCGCTTGTGCTCCCTGCCATCCCTGCCTCTCAGCAGGCTGGCTGCACACCCTCCCGCTGACTCTTAGCAGGGGTCAGAAAAGATTAACTGTCTCAACTACCCAGTGGTTTTCCTTCACAACAATATATTGTGCTGCGACACGTAACGGCTGCGAATTCTGCCAGCAATCGTGCCCTTCCCCGTGCTCAGCTTTACAGGCTATATCATGGCTACAGCATTTTTCTAAATATTTTTTAATCAAACAATGATTTGATGTATTATACCTGTTGCTTTATAATTGTAATGTTAGAATAGGCACTTGAAGGCAATTAAAACATTTCTTGCTGTTAGTAGTCTAGGATGGTGAACTAGGTTCTAATGGAGGTTGAATTTGCGTTCCCATATAAACTGTACACCAAATGTCAGTCAGTCCGTGCCAATTAGTGCTTATGTTGCTAGGTCACCGTGGTCAATTGAAAACGGCATCAATAGAACTTGAAAAGGTTTCTTCCCGATCAGACCTTCTGACATATTGAGCAGAATAATGGATGGGAAAAAGCAGCCAAGGCCCCTACCCTAGATTCAGAATACTTGCAGTAAGAATTCATTTGCAACCTGCAATTAACTAGAAAGAATGGACTCCCAGAAAGAGTCTGGACATTTAGAAAAGAAAGCCTCATTCTCCTGTACCGCACATGTTTACTCTTTGGATGGTGTGTTACGTGTAGCTAACTTGGGGATATCTGGGGTTTAATCTGCGTTCGAGAACAGTGCAGATGAATTGGCAGATCTGCCCCTAAAATAAAAGGTGGGACAGAATCCTTCCAAGGAATCTGGGGGAAAAAAAATAATCTCTGATTTGTAAAATTTACTGCTTGTGGTCATACCTGGCTCTGCAGCTTGCAAGCTGTGAGGAAGGAAGCAGAAAGCAAACGTGGCCTTTTGGTGGGAGAATCTGGGAAGAGATTCCCCCCTCCCAGATTTTAACGACTGGGCGTCTGCGGTGCCGCTGCGGGCACGGCTGGGTGTGCCGGGCAAACCGAACTGGTATCATACCAGGCTCTAGAAATCTGGATGTAGTGGTGTGAATCTCTCCCTAGGAGCCAAGTTCATGCTGCAGTGTGCTTCTTCTTTCCACAGAACCGCCGGGGCTGCTCCTCTGCTCGCCTGGAACCGCATGCTGCAGTCCCAAAACCAGTACCCGCCCAGTCAGTACCAGGGGCTGGGCGGACCCATGGGTTACCCGCAGAGACCCGAAGATCAGATGGACAGGGGAAGACAGGTATGGAAACCTTGCCCCGTTCTGCGCGTTCTGTTCTCCTCCTGAGCTGCTTTTAGCCCAGTGAGAGCGCTGGCAGGTGAGCTCCCAGCCCCTCCGGGCGTACCCCTGGCTAAAAGCCCGTGCTGTCCCTGCGCCGCCACAGCTTCTCATTAAAAGCGGCTCAAACGTGCTGCCGGGTCACACACTGCGTGTAGCCTGAGAAAACATCATCCGGAGGCAGGTATTTCAACCAGAGTCTTCCTCTTCTGTAAGGAGACCTACCAGCTGCACGGTTTGGGGGTCGAAGGGCTCTCCCCAGCACATTTGAAATGTAGATTTTTACAGCTTTGTTCGTTTTTCCCCTCAAGTGTTGGTTGGCTTCTCTTAGCTGAAAAACTACTTGAAAGCAAATGTTAGATTCTAGTAGCCAGAGAAATAAACGTCTGTGGAAGTATGCGTGAAAATAGCTTTGTGGGTTAAATGAGAACAAGAGAAGGTGACAGGACAACCTCATCCAAAATTATAGGTGATGTTGTCATCAGTTTAGGAAAATGCCACGGAATGAAAATGCTGCTTGAAGGCAGCAGGTGGTTCTGCGTACGTGATTTGTGTGTGTGTGTTCCCAGTAAGCACATAATCTGCATATACCCTTGTACTGGAAATGTATTTACGGTGCTATATATGAGTTTAAAACCCATTCCAGATACCTGTATTAAACCTTTAACTCTGCTGTTGTTTTGGTAAGTCAGGACTCACCTGTGGGCAGGTCACTGAGCAGTAGTGGGGAGCGAGGAGGAGGAGGAGCGCTCAGCTGCTTGGTGGCAGCACTGTTTCCCACTCCTTTACGTGGAAACTGAGGCACAGGCTGTCTGAAACTTGCCTTCTGTTGCAACCTGCTCCAGCTGCCTCTCGTAACCGGGCTCAAGACACGTCACTTCGTAGTGAGTGCTCCGAGTTTTCCTTCTTCCCAGGCTCCCCGCCTCCCCCATAAGCAGACACTGGTGTTACACCGCACAGCACAGGCACAGTCACGTTTGGTGCGGGGTTTCTGGGGCTGTTTCCACGCTGTTGGCAGCGTGTGGTCATTTCCACAAAGGTATAAAGCCTGTCCTACGGGGCGTGGGTTGGATGATCCCCAGTTCTCCTTTGCTCATACGGCACGGACTGCAAGCACAATCCATTTAAACCGTAGTGCCACACAGCGTGTGTAAAAGTTGTCTTCCAGCATTTTTACTTTTCTCGTTTGTTGGCTGCTTTATGTTTTCCTTTTCTGTTCTGTTTGGGACACTCAGGCAGCGCTGTCTGTCACAACCACTTTTGCCCCACGACGTGGTTACGGTGTGGGGATTTTGAGGCAGGTGATACAGTAAAACCCGTGCTGTCACACTAGGTTTGTCAGAGAAGAGCCTCCAGCCTTTGCTGGGGAAGCTTTTAGCAGAGTGCCGTGTGTTCCTGTGCCTGGTTCAGCTTGCCGGGACGGGAGCCCAGCAGAAGCAGCCCGGGAGCCGCTAACACCGCTCTCAGCATTGTCTGCCGGCTGCGGGATTACGCGGCGCTGCTGAAAGGATCTCTAGCCAGCGAGCCGTCTGCCCGGTGCTCCCAACGCCTGCACTCTCGTCCCACCCAGCCCCGGTCAGCAGCAGTGAGCCTGCCTTCCCCCCGCCGCACCCAGCAGCGTTGTCAGCGCAGGGGGGGCTTTAGGGCTGGGGTAAGAAGTGTCTTCAGCTCCTTCAGTTGTCATCTTGGTGTCACAGCGAGAAACAGGGGAAAGGGAGGCGAGTGAGCCGCCGTGCACTCCTGCTCCAAGCACAGCGGGAGCATTACCAGTACGAACCTTCCCAGGACTGGTTTGGATATAAGCAAAACTAGACAGCATGGGTTATGATGATATGAGGCTTAATGGGGAAACAGGGGGCTTGAGTCCTGGCTCTGCAGCCGAACTAGCCCCCAGTGTTTTTGGGGTTTTTTTTAGGTGCATGTCAGATTTGGATGAGGTATATTCATAGGGTCGGTTTTCAAAAATCTTTTGTGTTACCCGGATTCACCCAAAACCCTGGAGACAAAGGAATAATTGCGCTAATCCATAACAGGGGCTGCTGTAGTAATGTACAAAAATCAGCCGAGGGTTTTGATGCCAGTGGAGTCTGGGTGGTATTGAATTAGGGCTGGAAAACAGATACTTGAAAAAAGTCTGTCTGCTACGCCATGCTCTGCTCTGCCCTTCATCCTGGGTGGTGTGGGTGGGTGTATTGGCAAAAGGAACTGGTGCTTAAACTGGTTCATTCCCGACCTAAAATCTTCGTGGGTAAGGGATTGCCTCCCAGAAACGTTTGCAGCATGGGCTCAGGGAGGCACTCCCTCTCGGTTCACATTTAGGAACGAGACCATGGGGTCTCGGAGCATCGTGGACATGTACAGCCCGGCTGGGACAGGAGACCTCTGCCCTCACGGGTCTCTGGCTGTGTGCCACCTGAATTATTCAACAGGAGGCACGTTGCTGTTTGGGAATATTGCAGCCTTGCCTGAAACTTGATTCACCTCTCACCAGCACTAGGTCATGAAAGGAAGCTACAACTGGGTGATGACAAGGGTTCTATTTGTGTTTTGCATACGTGATGGTTCTTAAGGACAAATCTTGCAGCTCAAGTAAACCTGCTTTTAAAATTTAAATTGAAAAATTTCCCTTGCAGTTTCATGGCTTTCCAGCTGGTTTTTATCTCCTTTTAATTTTTTATTGCCTTTTTTCTTTTTTTTTTTCTTTTCTTTTTTTGTTATTTTAAAATGAACTTTCAGAGGTCATTATTTCCCCGGGGCTGACAGCACTGGAGTAAAATTAGAAGCTACCTGAAAGGGTTTAGGGTGTAAAACCAATAATTGAATCCAGCGTTGCTGCCTGTAAATTTCAAAGCTTTAAAGCCTTGAAAAGGGATTCAAGTGGAAGTAGTGACACACAGCAGCATAAATAATTATCTTTGGTCCCTTTCACCTCTGAATTCTTTTTTTACAGCATACAGAACATGGTCTGAAGAGGTTAATAAACGCGCTGCTACAAAGTGCTTACAAAATTAATGCGACTGCCATGGATATGGGCTGCTCTGTGGTGGGGGGTGCTTGCTGGTGTCTTCCAGCTCTTCCAGAAAACCGAGGAATAAACTTGATGGTGTTGGGCAGGTGTTGGATATTTTTTTTTTTTTAACTCTGTAGTAATGCACAACTGAATAAATGTCCAGCTAAATGTTTTGTGCAGCTCCTGCAAGCCCTGGAAATTGCAGTTCTGCGGAGGGAGCGCTGCTCTCTGGGGCACTGGGAGGATTTTAAGGGATGTGGTCAACTTGTTTCCTTTGTTAATGAATTGCCATCAAACCCAAACCCCACCAGAAAGCTTTGCCAGAGTGGAAACAGTGTATTCTGCAGGTGCCTCTTTCCCAGCCCTTTGAGGGCAGGGTGGAAGGGGTGGGTTTCTGCTCAGACCCCCTCCTGGGTTGCCTGGCACAAGCAGCCTGGAGCTCACCTCCCCTGGCCCGGGGCTGCCGGCTGGCTCTGCGGTCTCGGCCGTTCCAGGACCAGGTAGGGATGGGTTTCTCATTTAAAGAAATGAAAGGAAGCCCCTCTTTGCCTGCCCACCAAAAAAAACTCTGAGTAGGAAACAAACTAAGCCCTAGGGCTGTCGTTAGTGCATCATGTTAATTGGCTTTCTGGTCTCTGCAGTGTAGCAGGATTTGAAATAATTCTAAATGCTTCCGGGGGACTCTGTGAAATTTTCCAACACATTTTTCACTGGATAGTTGATGTACAAAATGCCCAATTTAAATACAAAAAAATATCTGATTTGCAGTGGTTTACCAGGTGGGATTTAGGCATCTCTCAGATATTATTATTTTAAGTGCTGGCGAATACTGCTTCTGTAGCAAATACTTTTTTTTTTCCCTTAAAATATTTATTTGTAAAAATATCTGCCTTGCTTTAACGTAAGATTGCTTACAGCTAGAACAGAAAGCTGGCAGTTAAGGGAAATTATTTTTTTCCTGTAAAAAAAAAAAAAAAAACCAAAAAAACCCAACAAAACAAAAAACCCAAACAAACAAAAAAAACCAAAACCAAACCTGACAGATCCTGCTAACAGCACACAGACATCAGGCATCTCGCATTGATACTTAGCCCCCAAGAATCCCAGTTGCAGCGTTACTCGGTGTGTATGTGCTGCACAGCCCCCGTTTCTGTAGGAATTGAAGATTTTCATTTCAGATCTGCCCCCCAGGTGTGTGTGAATGTGTCCGTGTTCGTGGCCGGTGCTGTACAGACCCGCTCGCCGTTGGGGGAAGTTGATGCTCGTGTTTTCGGGAGAGCATCGGGAGACGCCGCGGAGAGGCGCCGGGCTCGGCCGGGAGTACCTTTCTGCGCCAAGGATGTATTGTTTCATTTTCGTATGGCGCCTGGAGCTCGGCTAACTTGTTTACTGTGATGTTAATCCAAAAAATAAATGCTTGCTTTTGTTTGTTTGTAGGCATACAGCCCTGGGAGGCCCTACCCGCTACCACCGCCCGCAGGAAGATACAGCTGGAATTAGCTCGTGGATTTTTTTTTTTTTTTTAAGTATAGAAAATGTCCAGGATTTTTGTTTTTGTTCTTTTATTAATGGGAGGAAAAATGGAATCTTTAATAACTATCCCTGTAGTTTTAAAACTATGATTGTTGTTTTAAATGTGTACATTTCTTACCAAACTGATTTACCAAACTGGTTTTTTTTGGGGGGGGGGGAGGGGGGGCTCTGTCGCGTGGCAATAACGTTTTGCAAAAATAGGAGTAACCTAGACTTGCTGATTTGCCCGCGAGCCCTGAGGGGAGGTAGGAGTGCTGCTCTGTCTTAGTTATGTGCGCACGCTGTGCTTAGCTGCGCCTGTCAATCCGAACTCCAAACATCCTTTCCTTCACCCCTAAGAGCCTGAA